AAAACTTTATACTTTATCTGTTATTTTCTACCCTATCTCAAAATGGAATCGGTCGACCGACCTCGTAACCACCAAATGACTTCAAATTGTAACATGAAACTACATTCATTTATCCTAAGTAGCTCTAAGTTTGTAATGGTATACATCTATTTATAATTAAATTTTAATTATTTTATTGCCCTTTGAACCATGTCTAACTACTATCAGCACCATTATAAGTTCTAAATCACTCTGGAACATGCAGTTCACATTATGCTAACGCATTACATTACCCACGAGCTGCTTGCGTTTTTGTCTTGTGAAACATTTTTATTATATTATTATTATTTATTTTACCTAATCTAATCTTAACAAACCTGAAAGAATCCCTATTTTTACATTTTAGTTACTTTTATAATTATACATAAAGAATATACATGAAAAACAAGAAATATAATACTTAACCAATCTTCTTTTTTCTTGCTGTTGGTTTTCAAAGAGAATTAACACTAATTTTTATACTAATGATAGTAATACACTTAATAATTTTTTATTTAATTAAATAATGCACCAAAGGATATAGATTAATAACATGCAAAAAGTAGACAAATCCCTTTACCTCTCAAAATTTTTCTGGCTTTCTAACTTTGTGACAAGAGCCGTTACAAATTCATCCAAGCTAGTCATTAACTTTTCCACGGGAATGATGTTGGTACTCTGAGTGAAATTGATATCTAACTGTTCAGAACTTAACATTATACAATATGTCATTTGATAGATGAAAGCCTTGACTTTCTATTGGTTATAGATAATATATAATGAAATTTAAGAGAGAACTATCAACAAATTGTGAAAGAGAAGATGTGGCAGGGGTGGTCTGATTGTCTATTTGATAGCTCTGTAACCAAACAAAATTGAAGACTAAAAATTATGGTTTGTCTGAGAAATAACGATTTTTATAGAGTAATTGATGTTTAATTTTGTACTTTTTTGAGGGGTGGTGGATAAAATAGGGATGATGACATGCTAAGAGAAAATGTGTCACATGGGTCACACTAGTGGAAATCAAGGATTTTACTTTATATTGCCTTGTAGAATTAAGAAATTAAAACTTGTATACTATTAAAATATGGATTATTAGCTGAGATTTTATGCTATTCTAATTAGTATAATATGAACAAAAAGTAGTTTAATAAAAGTTTGAATGTAAGACTAAAACCTTGTGTCATGAGCAGTAAAGGATACCTGTGGCGACAGGATTAAGTGAATAAAAATTATTTAGTGTTTTACCACCATAAGTATAAAAAAAAGCGTTAAATATTTTTGGCAACCATCAGCAAAAAAAAGCAAGAGGTCAAAGGTAAATACTATATTTCTTGTTTTTCATGTATATTTTTTATTTATTGTTATAAAAGTGACTAAGATGTAAAAATGAGAAACTTATTAGGTTAGATAAAGTAAGATAATGAAAAATAATAATTTTGTACAAGATATGCTCATGAGTATCTTGTGTATTATATCATTCAATATGTTAACTTGAGCTATGCATTCGCTGAATGAGTAAACTTGTATGGCAGGATTATTAGTTAGAAACAGCTTAAAGGGTGATAATACAATAAAATTAAGTATAAACAGATGTATACTGTTACGAGCCTTAAGCTGTTTAGGATAAACAAATGTAGTTTCCTGTTACAATTTGCAGTCATTCTAGAGAGGAAATAAAAGTAATACAGATTTATTTAGTATTTTTTTATATGGAGGTTACAAGGTCAGTCAAATTAACCATATCCATGTAGAGCTAGAGTAGAGAAAGTAACAGATAAAATATAAAGTTTAACTTTAAAAGAATTTTGATATTTATTTAGGATGTTTTAATGGTTATGCAAATTAGAAATTTTCAGATGAAGAAAAGTATTTTTAATCGTAACATGAAAATCACTTTGCACTCAGAGCAGTCAATACTCTGACTCCATATATTCACAGACAAATATTTAGTAAAAATACTTAATTAGCAAAATCTTATTTTTTGTGTACAAAAGACTTGTAATATTTACTGAAAGCTTGTTACTTTTCGTGAAGATTCACAAAACATATTAAAAGTTATATTATGGAAACATTGATGATTACTTTGTGGTTACAAGGTTGGTCACTTCGACCAACCCCATAAGGAGAGAGTAAATGAAGGACATATGAGTGGAAGATTGTTACAAAGACAAGTTTACTATTATGCAAGGATGTTTAAGTTAGTGAATGTTCTTTTTGTTTGTTCATTGTGTGACTAGATGATAGTGTTTATGATAGAGAATTATATCATAGTGTACCTTAGTATTAAAATCAATTTTTTTTATTTTATTTTACATTCATAGTTAAATTAACCAACTATCATAGGTAACATCATTTTTTGTCATTGTTTCTCAAATTTTTTGTCAAATTATTGGAAATTAAGTAATAAGTTTAGTTAAATATGAATCTGTTAGATTTGTTAGACCTACCACAAAAGACTCCCTATATATTTTTTATTTTGTTCATAGTTAGCCATAAATTTGGGTATGGGCTAATGGATGCAGCTGCTATGGTTCAGTTAGCTAAACAGTGGAAAACAGTACCAGCTCAACATTTCTGCCAAACTCAATCATTCCATGAAAAAAGGTAATGCAATTTTTGATGAAATGATAGTGGTGGGAAAAAAATAATTAGACATACATATATATGAGTATATACACACGTTTTAATGATCAAAACAGGCCCAAACAAAAAGCAAAATTTAAGACTGGATAAATTAAAACGATTTCCAGGGTGTAGGCTATAATGTGGGATATAAAATATGCCCTTTTTTTATTAAATATAATACTTAACATTTGTTAAAATTAAAAATGTAAATAGTAATAATAAGAAACACACCTTTTGGGTAATAAAATAAATAACCCATTTTAGAATACTTAAATAACTGTGAACAAGTAAAAAATATTCCAACATTTGATTTTACCACTTTATATTCCACAATTCCATCGATATATTTATTTTCAGTAATGAATTTATTAATAAATAATACATTCATTCTTACATAGTACTGAAAGCAAGAAAATTTACCTCCAAGAATACAAAAGATATGTTATGTGTTTGTATTTATAATTGTTTTTTTCAATAACTGGGTGTTTAAACAAGTAATAGGAGTTTCAATGGGAGCTAACTATTCTACTTGTATAGCAAATTTATATATTTATTTTTATGAGAATAGGTTTATTGAAAATTTCATAAATCTGGAAATTTTTGCTTTAGCTTATAGATATATAATTGATTTAATTAGTATAAATAATCCTGAGATAAACAGTTTTATTAAGATTATTTATCTGGTAGAATTAGAAATTTAAAATACTTCAATTTTGGATGTAGAGGCACATTATTTAGATATAGAAATAAAACAAAATGATAATGATATCAATTTAAATGTTTTTGATATAACAAAATATTTTTCATTTCCGCTATATGGCAACTGCAAATCAAAATTTATAATAGTTTTAACTTATGGATGACCTGAAGGTAATAGTACCAACCAGCTAACAGTTTGCTTGTGAAGTTTCTCAAACCATTTTACATAAACATATGTCTAAAAATTGATTTTGTGATGATAACCTTTGGATGTCTTATTTTTTTGAGTATCATTAATTAACTTTAATTTTATCTTAAGTATTTCCTATCATCTTAGCCATCAACATCTAACAGAGATAACTGGAGACCAAAATTTTAATTTAATTTCATAGTGAAATCAGAAATTAAAATTTTCCATGGAAATTTTATTTTGTGTAGAATTATTCCAAGTGATTTTGGAGCACAAGTTGAAGTTACAATGGAAACTAATGCATGCCAGCAAACAAAGCAAGTAATAAATCACTTGGAGCATGTTCAAGTTGAAGTGACACTGTCCTACCATCCCCGTGGTAATCTTCACATCATTTTGATTTCTCCCTCTGGCACCAAATCATCTGTTCTTCTTCCTAGACCAAGGGATACAGATGATAGAAATTTTAACAAATGGCCATTCCTTTCCACACACTTCTGGGGAGAATCTGCTATAGGAACATGGAAATTACTTATAACTGTTGATGGAAATATTCCATCTCCTGCCTCTGGTATGTTTAAATAACGTTTAATACCTGATATTAATGTTTTCTTTATGAGATTTATGTCATTCCTTTCATCCTTCTTGTGGGTAAAGACTGTAATATGCTTTCAAATTTGCTATATTTTAAAATTTACCTATCAGCTTAACTGTTTGTAGGCACTTAGTGTTTCATTGCTTTTAATTGTAGTGTAGTATATGGAGTAATCAATGTCTCATTATATTAGCTTTCTGTTGCCCTGAGAGCTTAAGATGAAACAGATCAGCCAGTAGTAGTTTGTACTTGACCATTATTATTAAATAAAAATGTTTATTGGATGTCTAAAGGCAACTATGACACACTTAACAATTCAGATATTGTGGAAGGTTTATGAAGTGATAATGAAATAAAACAGTACATTCTTACTACAAAATTTTTACTGGTTTAATAAATGTAATTCTCCAGAATCATTGGCATATGAGATTGAAAAAAGTTCATTTATGCAGAATAAAAAAACAACTTTAAATTACATGATGTACGCAGTACAAAAACTTGACATTCACAAGACACTGTTGTTCTAGCACTGTCCCACACTACCTGTTATCACTTCAGTGTTGGACCATTAGTTTTAATGAGCACAGTAAAATGCACTACAACAAACATTGTTTATTAGAAGTGGTAAACTTCTTAAGTGTTTTGCACAAACCTCGTTTAGAATTTTAGGTATATGTGTTTAAATTATACAACCCAAGTAACATATATCTAAAACATTGAAATTTTGTAAGTTGTTGCAAGTAATTGAAGTTATAAGTAACAACCACAGTATTTATTGCAAAAACCAATCCAAGCTTGTGGTATCTTTAATTTGCAGTGTCACTAATTTTTTTAATCCACTTGAGAGCAGTTTTGTTTGGGTTTTTTTTTCATTAAAATGTAACACTCATACCATTGTTCATTCTGGTTTGTTTAATCACTTTAATTAAAAGTTTTTTCAATTATTCATTGTTAATGTTTTTTGTTTTTTTTTAGGTTAGGAGTATAAAGAGAAATTTTATAATGAGCTAAGGTCCTCCTAAAATGTAATCTTAGGAAATCATAAGAACTCATCAAATTCCAAACCAGTATTGAGCATGGTATTAACATAAATCACAGATACTTCTTAACTTTTTTTATGAGGAGAGTAGGATAAAATTGGATGAATAGATTATACAACAATAATATCTTTTCTACACGGGAAAATGTTTCTTTGAAGAATTATTTGATTGATATTGTTTATTTATTTTCTTTGTATATATATTCTTATTTAAAAACAAAAATGAATATATTCTCTTCATCATGCTGTAACATTGTTATTAGAATTCTTTAAGGCAGATGAAAATGTTTTTTAAAGATTGAACTTATATATTCTTAGCTATTTTTGTAACACTACAGATTAATGATAGGCATCTTAACGTTAATCTTGAATTTAGTGTTGTTGTTGTTTATTTTGTGATACATATCTATCATCTTTTCTCAGGGACTCTATACGAATGGCGTTTGATATTTTATGGTACAGAAGAAGCACCATTTTATGTAATGTCAGCTTCAAGTGATTCAAACTTTCCTAAACATAACTTTTCACGCCAGTTAAGTAGGATACGACAAATTCCAGAAGGTGCTGACTCAAACATAAAAGTAAGTATTAATAAGATTTGAATATTTTATACCTTTTAATGTTTTATTGTTCATGAACAGCTTATAATACTAATATATCATCACCAACACTGTTGCAATTATATTTTTAGTTAACTGCTGCTGCTGTGATTAAAATTTTAAGTGGAAGAACCATGTGTTACAGTAATGCTTTCTTTAACTCTTTGACTTTGGGGCTGAGCGCATTGCATCCAGTATGTAACCAATTGGTTATGAACATGTAATTAAGAGAAGTGGGTGTAGTGAAACAAGTATTTCCAATAAGGTACATTACCTCCATTCACATAAATAGTTATTCTCATTCAGTCCTGCCCTCTATATGCAACTTTTTTTTTTTTGTCATTCCACAAGCCTAAAACTTCTACGTACCCTATGATCAATGTGGTTCAACTGCGTCATGCATACAAATCAAGTGCAACACATCCTCCTGAAACATGTGACTCCCTCTGTTTGATTATACTAAACTATCACCTCTTGTTTGGCACTGCTATCATCAAAATGATTTTTGTTTGTGCTCTCTTCCCACATGGAGATATTTTTTTCCATGCTTCCATTTACCAGTTTTAAGTGATAACTTATCTTTATTGTTCTTCATGCTTATGTTCCCAATTCAAAAATGTTATAATTTACTTCCAGCACAATTACCCACACTTCAGGTGGTGATACTCAATTGAGCTAGTGTCACGTTTAATACATTGGGAGATTGATATATGAGATGACCTTCGTCTCGCTTTGAGTTTGAGGGCCCACACATTTAGAATATGGTCTGCTGACTTTGGACAGATAAACTGTTATACTGTTATAGCTTTTTGAATAATTTTATTATTAGTATTATTATCTATAGTTCTTTGGTTTCAATTACATATCTTTAGTTAGATTTGTACCTACTTCTTGTAAGGTTAGGGTTTTTTAATTAATGTTTAGTGATATCCTTTGCCCTACAACGTTAGATTAGGCTTAACATGTCTGTTATTTTAGGCTTAACTATCATTCATCTTACTGGTACATCATAAATTAGATTAAATATATAGTTTCTTCAAAAAATATTATTTATTAAATTTTTTATTGTTCATATACACTTACCTAATTTTAATTTATAACATTTTTTTCATTTTCGTCATTAACTGTATTTTATATTTCTCTTACAATCAGTTTTGTTTGTGAGGACCCTGGGTATGGGGTCTGCCCAACCTTCTCCCAGTATTGCTCACCTTCCTACTCAAACTAATTTACTCATTTTGGACAACATTTATTTTGACAATTTTCCTTCACCTGATTATGAGCTGGCCTACCTCAGCCCTTTTTATACACGTTTTTTGCCCCTTCTTTTCCAGACATTATAGTTCATGCTGGGCTCTCTCTGTCTCTCTCTCTCTCTTTTCTTTTTTTTTTTGAGAGATGATGCTGGCACACCTCATCCTCCATGGGCTTTGGTTCATTTTGCCTTAGCTTACCATCAGGCAAGTTGTTTTTTTATTTTCTTGCTTCTCTACGTTTTGATTTTCTTGCTTCTCTACGTTTTGAATTTCTGTTGCCTGTATGGGGAGCAGAATCTGTTAATCCTATCTCTTTTTCCGTAGACAAGTTTCCAGCCTTTGTCTTTCCCTATTGCTTCTCCTACTGGTATTAACTGTCATACACCTCCTTTCCAAGATGCTCCACTTATTTCTTGGGGATTTTTATGGGATACCTTTCTCCTCTGTAACTCCAAGTTGGGGGCCGTTACCATCTTTGGCTCTTTTTCTACACATGTGGTTTTTTTGCTTTTGGGATCTTCTGGGGTGGAGCACTATCTAGTACCAAGTTTGTTTCTCTTCCACTAATTGGGACTTATGGGCAGCTTTTTTTCTCCACCAGTCCATTTTGTTGGAGGTGTTATTCCTGTGACTGTGGCATCATGCAGGGTATCTGTGTTGCTGCTTTAGATTTTTTTCTTTTTTGGTTACATGTTTGTCTCTTTAGCCATTACATTCTTTATTCATGTTCCATGTCTGGCACCTTCCCTTCATTTACTTGTCCTACATCTAAGAGTCATTCGTCATGTATTCTCAATGCATATTGGAGTTATGTGATTGTATCACACTTTAGTGTGCCATATCTTCAAGACTGAGGATGCTCAAGGTTGCTGTTTTGTGTTCTTATGCCCATGTTCCTATTTTTCATCCTTTGTGTTGCTCTCTTTGGTTTGTTCAACGTAGGGTTGGGTACCAGTTTCCTGCTTTGCCCTTCAAGCTTGTTTTGGATCTGTATGTCTTTGTCTACAGTTCCTCATCCACTTGCTTTGGCTGTCAGTGTATTCAAACAGACCTTTATTTCTCATCCCATTTGTCATCTTCTTCAGCTGATTTTGCTCATCCTTATCACTATGTGTTAAGTCTTTCTGATTGCTCTTTCTTGGCCAATACAGATCTGCTTTTCTCAGCTGCTTCAGCTCGATCTGTTCTTTTTGTTCTGGATCAATGTTTTTCATATCCTCCATTTTGGTAGCTCGTGTGGCATGTTCTTCTTTTTTGTTTTCTTCCATCTCCCACCTTTACTCCCCTTTACGTGCTCTGGGTACTTCATTGCCTTCAAGGCTTCTTTCTGTTGGTTCTCTTTCCTGCTGTTTCATTCCCTGGCACCACTTCTTTGTTTGTAACTTCTTCCTTCCTCCCTTACCCTTTCAGTTTGGTTTTTGATTTGATTTTTCTTCCTTGTCTCCTTTTTACTGTAATAAATTTGTAGTGTTTTCACTCTGATCAAGCACCTTCTCTTTTATCTGCATCTCACCCCCTGTCATATATTGGAAGTACTTCTTCTGACAAGCACTGGGACTACACCTTATACTTTTATTTCACATTCTCTGCTTCAGGTAGCTTTTTCTTCCTCATCGGGTTACCGTCTTCCACCTGTCTCCATCCTTCACTGTATGTTGAGATTGTGACTGAGTAAGTTATCTTTTTGTATATATACCTCTTATTTTTTAGGGGCATGTCCCTTTTTTCTTTACAGATTATGCTCTGTGATAAGTGGTGCCTGTCCAGGTATATTTAAAATAGTCAAATCCATACTGTAAGGCTAGGATGACTTAACAATTACAATTTCCATGGCCACTAAATGCACACTGTTGAGATGGGGTGTTCCACAAGATTGCTCAAAGGTTTTCTTCATATATTTACTTCATTCATATGCCTATTCTGGACCATACTAACCCGTGGACTTAATGAGTAAAGCAGAAGGGGATAGCTGCCCATCCCTGCCATTCCTTAGATTGAATAAATTAGGAGTGGTCTGCTTTTCAGAATAGGGTTTTTGTGATCTCTTTGTTGCTCTGTAACCAGTGCTGATGTTCCTCCAGACTCTTTACTACATTTTCTCCTCTTGTTTTTCTTCTAATGAAGTTCGAGAGTCCTTGCTACTTTCCAGTTCCAAGCTGCTGGAGTGGTGCACCATGGAGGCATCCTCCCGAATGTGATAGTGATACACGATACAAACAATAATGAATCCATTCAGATGAGAGTAGGATGGGGGTGTTCTGCTGGTGTAGATTACAAGATTTTTTCCAATCTGATGCTCAGAATGGGTCTATCTGAGCGGATGTTGTAGCTTTGGGGTGTGCCATCTAAATTGCAGTTCACCCCTTTGATTGGGATCCTTCATCCTATCCCCACATGGATGTCGGTTCCAAATGTGTGGGTTTTGGATTCAGAGCTGGACCTGTCAACGTAAGTCCTCAAACATGTATTACAATTGGACTTGTGTTCACTGCTACTGTTTTGTGGGTCACGGTTACTATAATAGTTCTTCCTCTAGTGCTATCCCTCAAAGATATTCATATATCAAGGATATTACTATGCTGGAGGTGGCTCCTGTCTGATTGGTTTTGAGTGGTATATTTTAAAATACAAGGGCATCTTTATTATTCTGATCATCCAGATGTTGGATTCCTGGAGCTGTCAAACACTTTATCACTTTGCTATCATGTGTTCCATTCACAGATCAGTGGGTATGATATGAGACACAGTTGAACCATGTTGATTGTGGGGTATGTGGGTGCTCAAGGCTTGTGGCATACTAAAAATCTTTTTGCATATAGAGGGCAGCACTGAACAAGAATAGTTATTCGTGTGAGAGGGGGCAAGTACCTATTGAAAATACATTTTCAGTATAGAAAAATTATAACTTTCAAAAGAGGAAGAGGTAGGTAGAACCACTGAGCTGGATTTGCTAAATATAATAATATCTCAGGAAATAGAAAAGGTAGGAGGCTCTTAGTCTATATTCTAACTTTTCAATATTGGTAATTTGAGTTTGTAATTTTTTAAAAACTGTAGACGTTACATTTTGTGATGCCCAAAATGCAAACTGAGCAAATGCAGAAGATGTACCATGTGACACACAAAAAATCTGCATTTAGCAATTTTGTTTTTTATATTTACTTTTGAACTAAGAAATGAAATATAATGTATAATATTACAACTTGAATTACAAAATAGAATTTGATTCCAAATTTATGGACATACATTCAGAAAATAGTAGTTTAATAAAATTTTGAATGTAAGTATGCAAAACATGATGACATAAGCTCTGATCCCAACCTGTATAGATAGGGTTAAGTGGCTTAACTTGTGTTATCATAATACAAGAGTGGTGATTTCTAGCTACTTCATTAGTCTGCAAATTAGCTATAGCATACTGCATAATTTTTTTCTATGAGCCATATGCAGCAGCTTTGGAAGGATGAAATAATATTGTTAGGTTTTAAAAAATTCTGTCAGCTCTCTTGTCATATTAACTGTAAAATAAACTATTAACTGAAATGGTCAGATTTATAATTTTATTTTATTGTACATCTTATTAACATTTAATTTATATTTTCATACTCCAATTGTAATTTTTATTTGAATTTAAATATTTATGCTTCTTGCCTGCATAGATGAAACTTGTCAATATACAAAATAATGTTGCATGTCTGTGGTCTATGCACATGTTTTTTACTCAGTTTTGGTTCAAATAGTGGAAACAGTGAGTTTTTTAAGTTGGTTGTGTTGAGAACTGTAAAATTAAAGTGACTGTATTTTTTGTTACTACAATTTCCAAGCTTCTGAAACTTATAGCATGTGTTGCATTTTAGATACAGTTTAATTTATGAGTCATTAACATTTATAAATACAAATCAAAAAGTGGATTATATAAGTCATTAGGCTTAAGAAGAGTTAAATTGTAGATGGAACACATCAAAATAGTTTAAAATATAGCAGGAATTGCAGAAGGTTATTATTGCCGGTGTGAACAGTACAATAATTTATGGGAAAATAATACAAACATTTTGGAGTATGTAATATTTTTTTTTGCATCTAAATCACATCTTTCATGTATATTTTTTGCATTTTTTTTATGTTGTGACAAGACTCTTTATAAGTAAGTGTTCAGTATGCCTAGTTGCTCACTTAAATTTATGTTAACTAATGGACAGTTGGCAACAATGTAGTTTTTTGTAACTTGTCAGTTAATACAAAATTTTAAAAAACAACAACTTATATATCATTTTAAAACTGATAGAAGGAAAAAAGATTATATTTTAGTTTTTTGTTTTTGTATCAGGTAAATTAGCAAAAACTATTTTATATCAGTTTCAGATTGTTCAAGAGACTAATAATTTTTTCTTATTCTTCAAAAAAGCTCTGTGCAAAGAAAGGAGAATTTGCTGATCTGGAAAATCTTGGGTAAATATTTATTTTTATTGGAGTATTTGAAATAAATCTCTGTTTTAAGTACTTATTAACCTTGCTGTAGTTAGGTCAAAGTGTGCATAACAAGACCTTTTAGAGAGTTACGTACAAAATTTAATTAAACTACTTTATTATCATTGTGTATGAATAAACTTGGCATCAAGATATAGTTAATGAATTAAATTTTAATATTATAAAAGTTTTAGGAAAAAGGGGTAATTTAGATTTATTTTATATTCTTTTATGGTGGTTACAAGGTCAGTCAAATCGACTGAATGCGAATAGAGTTAGAATAGAGAAAATAACATCTAAAATGTAAAGTTTAACTGAAGAAAAATATTTGATATTTATTTAGGAGGTTTTAGAGACTATGCAAATGAAATTTGACAATTTTCAGATAAAGAAAATTATTTCTAATTATAATATGAAAATCATTTTGCACTTGGAACACTCAACACTTTGACTCCATATATTCATGAACAGATTTGTAGTAAAAATACTTAATTAAAAAGTATGATTTTCTGTGTACAAAAAGACTTGTAATGTGTACTGAAAGCATATAAAATTTCTTGAAGATACACAAAATGTATTAAATGTTATTGCATGGAAACTCTGATGGTCACTTTGGGTTACAAATTCAGTCAAATTGACCAAGGCCATAGTGAGAGAGTTAAACAACAATAAAATTTAAATATATTGTGAGCTTGAATATTTACACTGCTGGCAACACGTTTGTCATTTCTAATTTTACATTTACACTACCATGTTATGCAGCTCCACTCTAACAGCACTATTGCACCTGGATATTCAAAATGTAACTTAAAAGAAATAATTCTGATCTATTTCATTAAGTTTTGTGCCAGAAAATGGTATTGAAATTATAACATCATATAATGGTTATTCTATGAATCTTAGAAATAAAAGTCCAAAAATCTAAGGGAGTTTAAAAAAAAAAAGACTTGTTAAAATATTTACCTGATAATGATTATTTTGAGGTTTATTTTAAAGTTTAGTGTATGGAACAGCCTCGATGAACCAGTAGGTATTTTGTTTGTAAATTGTATGTTGTGTCAAACTATCATTTTGTAATGTACAACACTATAGTGTCTATAAATTGTGTATTTTCCTTCTGACTGCAAGAGTCTAAATTTGTTTCATCTATAAACTATTTAGAATTATGAAGGAAATGACTTAATTTCAACCTTCTGGTGGTAATATATGCTGAGCTATGAATTTGTTGGTTGAGCTCACATTTATACCTCCAAGGAATGTATTGATAAATAGGCATGTATTTCACCAATTATAATTGTTTTGAAGGGAAGAAAATAGGCTAAGGCTGTTTAAACAACTTGTCAATTGCTCCTAACACTTTTTTCTCTTTAAATGTTTTGAAGAAGAATTATGATAATACTATGCATGAATTATTTTCTCAATAATTATTAGTAACATAGAGATGTTTCTTTTAATCTCTGGTAAACAATTATCTTGCTGCTGCTGATGGATTTATGTTACATTGAGAGCTACAGAAATATTTTTTATAGCATAGACATTAGATAAAGATATTTAGAGTTAGCAGTGGAGGTAGCCTGATGCATTGTATAATGATATGTGATGAAAATAGTTTTTAACATTTACATAACTGTTCAATAAGCAAAGGAAAACACCAAAAGAAAGGAAGTGAGTGAAATATTTGATAAATATAAAATGCATTAAAACTGACTGGATATATAAACTGTAACTTTCTGATTAATTATTTAAAAAAACAAATTTTTGGTTTCACTTATTTTTTAGCAGTTAATTTCCAGAGCTTGGTGTGGCCTAGCAGTTAGTGTACTGGTTTATATATTTGATGGTCCATGTTTCACATCCCATTGCCATAATATTACAAGCCACATGTTTGGTTGGTGGGTGTATTGTAAGAATTAGGATCAAATTCTTTGCTCTAGTCTTATCAGTTCAAAATTAGGGACAGCAAGCCCATTTGAAGCTTTGTGCAAATATCTGAAACAAAAGAAAACAAATACTTGTTGCTTTTAATTGATATTTGTACCTTGTAATAACTTTAACAAAGTATTAACAGTTAGAGTAAAATTCAGCTCGTAAAGTATGCTAACATTTTAGCTTGTAGTTTCAGTCTTTGAGGTCGTAAAATTCATTTATAGTTTTAGTTTTGTACATGGAAGTTATCAAAATTCAGAGACCATCTAACAAAGCAGATTTATCCAAATAAGCATTTATCACTAGTGAGTTTTTGTTTTGAATATTTTCTTAGTTATTATTTTGCAATGGAAGCTGTAATTCTATTTTTTTTGTATGTCTATTTACAATAATTTCTTTAGTTGATATGTAGTTAACATTATATTTTTCAGTGTATGTTTGAGAACATGTCCTGATGGACAATTTGGAGATGAAGATAGTGTATGTCAACACTGCCATCCACAATGTAAAACCTGTTATGGACCAAACAGTGACAACTGCTTTTCTTGTAGATCTGAGACATATCTGATGGATGCCTACTGTGTTGAACATTGTCGTAGTGGCTTCTATAAGGGTAAATAATGAACCACTTTCATGTAGATTTAATAATGTTAATGAGACTTCCAACATGTATGTGAATGTTGAAGAATTTTAATGGCTTTCTGCTCCTACAAGGCTGAAATATTTGTTCTATAATAAGGATATTTATTTTGAAAGTTAGTTTTGATTTTAATTTAATACATCTTTAGTTCCATTTAGAGTGATGTACAACAACATACTTGACCAGTTTATTTTTCATCTGCACATGTTTCTAAAACCCTGAAGCTTTACCTTTAGCAAAGAAATTCTTGACACTGAAATGAGTATAAAAATCCATGTTTTATTCACACTTCAAATATATTTGTAATTGATAAATTAAACCCATATACCTGGATGTATTTGTGAAAGTTAGTGTTTGTACATTCAATGACTTTCTCTTGAATACCTTATACCTTATATGGCTTTAGCCAAGGTTTTTTTAATGATGTTCTAAGCACAGTTTTAAAAATATATTAGTAATGACTAATCATGTCATTTTAATTTCTGTGTGACTGCTTTTCCAATTTTAAGATGTTGTAAATAATCAGTTTTCTGAACTATTTCAAGCTCTTTTCAACAGATTTGTTAAATTCTGAATAAATATTTGGCCAAGGAATTAAACACAAAAAATCCAAAACTTGAGCACTTTTGAATAGTTGACTATTCTTCTTCTTCTGGCTGCAGATTTATCATATTAGGTTTTTCTTAAAGGCAACAGACAAAGAATACTCTTTTTCAATTTCATCGGATAGGTGTTTGAAGCTGACCATTATTCTTTTTTTTTCACTTTATTTTTAATTGGTTATGCTTTCAAAGTTACATATTGAATATGACATTGTTAATTTGAACAAATATTGTGAACTAGATAATCCATAGCTAACGAATTAATGATATGGATGAATAAAGTTTAACATTTGAATCACCAAGTAATACCCCCCCCATGTAATGTCTGTTAACGAATTAATGATATGGATGAATAAAGTTTAACATTTGAATCACCAAGTAATGCCCCCCCCATGTAATGTCTGCTAACGAATTAATGATATGGATGAATAAAGTTTAACATTTGAATCACCAAGTAATGTCCCCTCATGTAATGTCTGCGGACTTATATTGCTGGAATCCGGGGTTCGATACCCATGGTGGGCAGAGCTCAGGTAGCCCATTGTGTAGTTTTTTGCTTAATTACAAACAAACACCAAGTAATATTTAGATGATTCAGTTTAAATAGATGTGACAGAAATATTTTATAAGCAGAAAACATTGAGTTATAATGCACTATGTGAAAAAGAAGTAAAAATTTGGTTCATTATAATTGATTTTTTTTTCTTCAAAAAAAACAATGTCACAGATAATGTTGTAAGAAAAAATGTTTTTTTTTTTACATTGTGAAAGTTTGGTTTCAGAGCAAGCTTATATCGCATGATTTTCCAATGAAATAAATGTTAGCCACATATGTATCTTTTGTGGCTTAACAAAGAGTGTGCCTTGCACAAATTGAAGATTTTATCAAATAGAAGTTGTTACATGTATAGTGTTCAAATACTTTTATATGAAAGCTGGTTACAGTTCACACTTGTGTCACAAATAACTTTTTTGGCAGATTGCCTGAAAGTGTTTTACGATTAGCTTTGTACAACTTGAGTTCTGTTTTGTTGAAAATACTTGATTTTGCTGCTGCTATGGCAATTTCTAATATTCATGAGGTTTGTGTATTTTTGCTTGTAGATGAAACCCTGCAGCAGTGCCTTCCATGTAGTAGCAATTGTGTAACCTGTGAAGGCACCCCTTATAGGTGCTTGTCATGTGGTAAAAATGAAGTCCTACAGAATGGACACTGTAATATCTGTCCAGCTGGTACCTTCAGGTTTTCAGCAGACAGGTGAGTTTTTAATAATCTGTTATCATTATTTTACACCTCATCTACACATGCAGGCAGTTATTCTTGTACTAGAATGAGCTACATGTTTGATAATTTTTATTCTTTTTTAAGTTATGCCATTAGTAAGGAGTTTAAAAGATGCATGGTATAAATATAATCTTACTGCTTACCTATTGTTTCCATTTCTTGCTTTTATAACTTGAGCAACACAGACAATCATGTCCCTGCCTTATTCAGTTTCTTTCTTCAAATAGGGTGTAAAATATAATTATATTGTAAAACCATCAATGTTCTTTTCTCTTCTGTACACATCAGCACCTGTTTGCAGATCTTCTGGAATATTGTGATTGTACATGTGCACATATTTTTATGCAGTTTAGTGCCTCGTGCACAATTTATAAATTCTAATTTTTGAATGCAATTTATGAAAAAATGTAAACAACTTTTGATCATGAAACAAAGTTTTAAAAGTAATATTCCAGCCCATGTACATCTTTACCCTTCTTTCATGTGAAATCAACATATCAAAATTTATACATTTTAAATGTAAAAATCATTTATAAATAAAACTATCAAACCACCAGAAAAAAATAAAGAAATCTTATTCTTCAAAGAGTGACATCTATTTATTAGTAAACATCTGGAGTGACCACTATTTTCTGACATCAAATGTGTTGTGTATACTCATGCAGGGCTTGAAATTAGTGGGGGCTTGGGAGCCAATGCCCTTAAAAATGCTGGTGAGCTCGTAAAAAGTGTCTGCTAGGTAGCCTGTGTAGCCCCTTAAAATTAAAAGAACCATTAAAAGTTTGACTTCACGTAAATTAATATAAGCATTTCTTAACCAGGCAGAACTTATGACAATCCACAAACATCGTCACTATGAATGCTTGTGCAATGAATGTTTAGCTTGAAGACATGTATGCTAGCTGTGGTAATGTATGATGTATATGGCATGTATAGCTTATTATGTATAACAAGCAGTGTGTATATGTATGTGTGTGTGTGTGTGTGTATATTGTGTATATAGATCAAGCAATGTGTGTTCAAGATGATGTGTTACAGGTGGTTCATAGCCTTTGCCAAGGCTGTTTCAGCTAAGGTACCCCCACTTGATTGTGCTATCTCAAAGGACTCATGCTAGTGAGTGGCAAAGTTGCGCATAAAGCTACTTGCCGACTTGTTGGGATATTGCAATCTGGAGATCCACAGCAAACAAACAAAGCAAAATAACTTGGTAGGTATTTTGCTTTGAAAACTTTCAGGTCCAGAAGGGACCTGAAAGGTAACCAGGAGCTGTCAGAAACTGTAATTTATCTTTGCACTGCTTGTGAAAACTTTGGTTGAACACCTACAAAGGCTGCAAAAAATTAAATTTTAATATTTTTAAGTGCTTTGATGAAATAATATGGAGCTTAATGTTGTTGAAGCATGAAAGACTGATTCACAGGCGTGGTTGATGAATAAGGTAAAGAAGGTGAGTTGACACCTTGTAATAAATATCAGGGAAAAACTGAGACAGGGGGAGCTAGAAACAGGAAACTTTGAAAGAAAAAGAGGTTGATACTGAAAGTGAAGAATGCTGCTCACTGTATATGAAGGCTTGAACATAAAAGGTGGCTGTTGACAAAGACGGAGTAGATGTGAAGATTGAAGGAACCAAGACTGTACCAAGGATATCCAGTTCAAAGTTGACACGAGTTGTATAAATAAGAGTGATCATTAGGGTTTGAAGTGGTCAATTGATAAATTCATGATAGGGGACAAATACATCTAAAACTAGCAAAGATAGTAACATTTAAATGGGCTTCAATTTATTAAAATTCATAACAAAAAGATTAAGTAGCTTTGGCTGAATTAATAAATAAAAATATAATTTCAACTTTGAATATAGAATTTCAAGGGGAGTGGTACTTCCCAGGGCTGGGATCTATAGATCCAATGAAAATAATTTTTCTATTGGGAGAAAACTTACTTTCACTGATCAGGCATTAAATATTCTACTTGATCAGTGCCTGAATTGTTAAGGGTTAACTGAAGATTACAAAGCTTTTTCCTACTTTTATTTATTTTCCTAAACGAAAAGCCATAGCTTGGGACATGAATGGGTTGAAGGCTACATGCCACTTGTTGCACCAATCTGACATTGCATTGAATGATATTCCAAAATGGTTATCTTCTCTCACCCAAAGCTATCATAATCCTGGTTTGCCCTCTAACCAGTGCTAAAAGAATATTTGCATGAGCCTTTTATACCTCATCAGTTTCGCGCTATTTCAAAACAGGTAGTTTTCATGTGACTACCCTTCAATTATACTGTGTCGTGTATACTAGTACAGCTAGCTTTCCCTTACTATTCTTGAACAATCCTCACTTTTTTGATTGGCATTCTAGTATATAGACGTGTGTTTTAACTCATTCTCCATGTGACTACATAATTTTTTTTGTGCTTGATCACAGATTTATATTGGTTTCAATTTCAAATTTTGACTTCTTCTGTTTGATTTCCATTGTTTCTACTTGTTTATTTTAGAAGTTTTCTGTTTTCCGAATTCTAACTTGTTCATATGAATTCAAGATTTATTATGGCAGATGATGAAATTCCCGTGATAGTAAACAATGGTTCTGACAGGAATCCCCAGGTTTCAGGATCATTGATGTCTGCTGGGAAGCACAGGCTTTAGTTTGCTTAGAGTTTGTGTCTTACATTTGGCCCATGATTTCTGTGAGGAAGGATATAACTACTGAGTGGAAATTTCTTTCTACTGCATTTTCCATCTGTTACCATGTTTTCATGTAATCTGCTGGTTTTCCATCTGTTACCATGTTTTCATGTAATCTGCTGGTTTAGGTATTGTTCTTTTTCCCAGAAGATCTGTGGTAAGTTTTTCAGTGTGTATTCTTCACTCTTATTAGGTATACCCATGTTTGTGTGAGCTTGTGTGGATAGACCTAATTTTTGCACTTGATAATTTAGGTCTTTCATGTCTTCTCTGCTCAGTATTTGGTAAGGTAGATTTTTATAATTCTTTTCACTGTTTATGTTATTTAGTTTGTGTGTTCCTTTTTCTGTACTACTAGTCACATCTAGTTGGGGATTAGATTTGAGTCAGAATTTGTTATTGTTAAATGGGTGCCTTTTTGTTCTCATGTTCTTCAGAGTAGGTTTTACATTTGTCCTTTGTCATATAGGTTCTTTGGGTAGACTTATGTGTTTGATATTTACGGGCCTTTTATCTTTTAAGTTCCTTTAGTGGTTTTGTACTTTGAGTGTTGCTTATTGTTTTATGTTTTAGGTCGAATTTCATAGTTTTGCAGGTTTGTTATTTTTATATACTTTGTAGACTAAAAGTTTCTAAGTTTTGTTAGTTTATTAGTAATGAGTACTTTTTCTAAGTATGTTTAGTTTATGTGTGTTTTTGGCTATACTTCATAACAGTTCTGTGGATTCTATGAGTTCTATCTGAAAGTTTCTACCTTCAGTTCTACTTACCCTCTCTATCCACTTCCCAGATCTCCTTCCCTCTTCTTTCGGTTCGTCCAGTCCATCCCTCTTGTTGAGTCTGTTCAAGACATCTTACACATAGAAGCTATCAAACAGTGATGCCCACCAAACCAGGATATTACTTCCGTCTATTTGTTTTCCCCAAACACGCAGGAGATTGAAGACCCATCATAGAACTATCCCAGCTGTATACTTATCTCGAGACATCTCGCTTCACCATGGAGTCCTACCTCTCACTTTGGTGGGTTTTCCCCAGGACTTTTGATGACCAAGTTCGATGTGACGGATGCCTATCTTCATATTTCAATTGACCCAGTGTCATATCATTTTCTTTAGTTTGTCCACAACGTTTCTGTATTCCAGTTCTTGGGGCTGCTGTTTGGTCTTTCTTCAGTTCCGTATGTGTTTTGTCGAGTGGTACACTCTTTTGCAAGTATCTTCACTCGCTGGGTTTTCGTACTCACCAATACATGGATGACTGGCTACTGCTCATCTCCTCCCGTGCCCAGTCAGTCACTTACACCTGCTTGGGTGGTGTTTCTCATCAAGTTGGAGAAGTCCTTTACTACGCTCATGCAGTATCTTATTCATTTGGGGGTTTTCTTCAATTACAATGTCAGTCGGACCCAGACTTCTCGAATTTGGCTATGGAATATGGAGTTTGCAGTCATGAAGACCTTACCTTCTCCTTCTTTGCACAACAGGTTCTATCTCATTTTGGGGATGTAGGCTTTCTTGGAAGCTCTCATTTCCTTAGGTTGTGGCAAAATGCATTCCCTTCATTATATGCTTCTCGACCAGTGGAAATTCTCCCACAATCCCTTGGCCCATCCCATCACTCTTCCAACTGGGATCATGGTTGACCTTGCTTGGTAGCTTGACCATAGTGGAGGTTCTCATTCCTCTGCCTCATCCCTAGTCTCATCTGTTGGAAGGTTGGGGGGGGGGGGGGCTTTCCTTGATTCCCAAGAGATTTTGAATCAGTGGCCAATTGAGGAGGTTTCTTTCAATATCAACACCCTACAACCTTTGGCAGTTCATTGGGCTCTATATCATTTCCTCCTGCTCTTGCAGAAGTGTGTGCTTATGGTTCATTCTGACAATTCCACTGTCATCATCTGTATCATCAAGGAAGGGGGAACCAAGTCTAGATCTATGTGTTTTCAGACTATGTATCTCCTGTACTAGGCCAATGACCATGACATGACAGTTCTGTGGTGTTATGTTCCCAGAATTATGAATCTTGTAGCCGATCACTTATCCAGTCCCAACCAGGTTCTCCCCACGGAGTGGTCCCTCCATCCTCAATTATTTATGTGGGTGACTTCTCAACTGGGAAAACTGCACACGTATATGCATTTGCTAATCACTGGAATGCCAAACCTCCTTTCTTTTGGTCACCAGTTCCTCACCCCACAGCTCTGGGGGTGGATACTTTCAGTCAAGATTGGAGGGATTTTACTTGTATGCTTACCCTCCGATCAGACTCCTCTCC